AATCAATTTGGGTAGAAGCAAAATATGCAAGTTCCACACACATTTGACTTCATTCAAAAAGCTACACAAGGAGTCATATATATTTGTTTCCCTCTCATTCACTCACTCACCTAAGGAATGTGGGACTAATTTTGCCTTATACAAGTGATGACCGAAGTTCCTAGCTTCAAGTCCCACCTAGACCACTTTTAATTACATTTATGGGTTTATATACCAAAAAACTCTCAAATGTTGCAACCAAGAGTTGAATTTTGGACCTCCTCGAGTGTTTGGAGTGCTTTGGCCGAATTTGAGAAGCTAAAATGATGTATTTCCTTTTTGTTGCAGTCAAGACTTGAACCTTGTCTTCTTTTTTTAAGTGCAGCCCCTTCAAGTCCCTTCTCCTCTAAATTTGGCTTTCTTTAAGTGTTTATATATGTGATAGCTCTCCAAAGTTGCAACCAATAATAGAACTTGGACTTCTAGTTTGTTTGTTGCTGAAATTAAGCTAGGACAAAAGGTTTGGTTGAGACTATGCTTTGGGACAAGATGCAACTCTCCTTTTGGTTCTGCCTTTCTTTCTTGTACCATTTGTCCAAGGTCCCATATCAAAATGGGGAAGAAGTTTTCAAATGTTTATATACCCCTAATTTTCCTTAATGTGCAACCAAGTGGAATGATATTCTCTTCATGCAACCATATCAAGCTCTTGGGTCATGCCTTGTGTGTTGGGTCATGGTCTTGTGTGTTGGGTCAAACATGTCCTACGAAAAAGACAAAAAGACGTTTTACAATTTTATACAAAGTAAAGAGCTGAAAGAGGATTCTAATAAGAGAGACTCCAAAGGAGGAGTGTTTTTGGGGAAGCTTCCTCTTCTATCCCTTAGCTCTTGGGCTTTGATTAAGACCCAATGTGTTATGGCCTAGATGGTTCTTTGGGTCTTATTTGTGGCCTAGTGTGGTGAGACCCAATATGGTATGGCCTAGATTGTCCTCCATCAGACCCTCCCTCAAGAGAAGGATATGACCTCGAATCCAAATCTTCCCTTTAAAAGAAAACTATTTATTAAAAGTGGGAGATCTAATCTAAGTATTTATTAAAAGTGGGAGATCTAATCTAGGTATTCATTAAAAGTGGGAGATCTAATCTAGGTATAACACAAGGATTGAGGCTCTCCTTGATCCCAACCCTTATTCAGCAAGTCACTTACTTGATTTTCTATCTCAAGGGGTCCATTCAATATTATATTCGCTAAGTGGAAGTCCATAAGGTACTTCTTTGGAGAAATAAATCATTATTCTCAAAATTATGTTATACCCCATGTGGTAGAAAATTAAGTATATGACTTGTGGCAGCAAGTGTCCTTTTTATGAAAGAAGGAAAAGAGGTTGTTCAAACTTTAGAGGAGAAATTTATTTTGAAAAGTTTTTGTTGAACAACTCTTTTGGAGGGGACACAAAATCTTCAAACCCTATTTCTTCTCAATTCAATTTTTATTTAAAAGATAATGTTTTTGTTTTGATTTTTTTCTCTCTTACAATTTTATTTTTGATTTTTATTTGGTCATCCCTCACTTGTTGAGGTGTAAGAGGACACAAAATTATTTTTTTGTCATTGTGAAGGAAACTTATCTTGTTGGTGTGACCATCATGGATAGTTTGTATATCAAGTTGTCATGGCCTACCAAGTAGAATATGTTCCACATCCATATGAATTACATCGCATAAAATATTTTATTTGTAAGTTCTTATAGATATTAGTATATCTACTTGTTTATTAACTATTATATCACCATCTTCATTGATCCATTGAAGTTTGTAAGGTTTTGGATAGGGTGTAGTAGTTAGGGCTAGCTTTTCCACCAACCTAGAACTATAACAATTATAACAAGAACCACTATCCACAATTAAATAACAAGTATTTATCATTTAAAAGTTGGGCAAACATAGCCCTTATTTTCTTATCTCTTTTTTTAATTTTCTCTTCTAAAGTTCTAAGTTTTTCCTTAATGAAAGAGTGTTCCCTAGATCTACGGTAGCTCCCACCCAAACTAGAATGACTTTATGATGCATGAGAATGGTCACTCATTTTTGTTTAAGAAATATTTTCACAATAATTTGAAAAATTATTTTTCACAAAAATGAACTGACAAAGGCTTTCACAAAAGAAAAATTTCAAGTGTGTGTGTGACGGACCCCTAAGACCAAAGGAAGGTCAACTAGTTGTTTAAAGACTCACCTAGATTTTGTCACGGAAAAATTAAATTCTTCTTGTAAAAATTTACACAAAGTAAACTAGATGGAAACCTAGGGTGAAAGTCCAAGTGACACTTAATGAGGACACTTTCACAAGACTAATTCATGCAACTATTACAATGTTCAAAGTAGGAGATGGGATTGTACCAAAGACATTTTCCTAAGACACCCACAAAAGCAAAATTTACAATAAGAAATATAAAATTTGTGACAAAATTACAAACAATTATTTAGCAATGAAATTTTCTTGTAGCAACACTTCTTGTGATGGAAATTTTTGCAGCTAGGCTTGCTTTGTGATGGAAATTGATAATTTTTTTGTCAGAACTTTAGGGTTCCTCACTTGGTCAAGTGTTTCACTCTTCTTGCACCCCGATACTTGCTTCCCAAGCTTCCTTGAAGAAAACCTTATCCTTTCTTCTTAACAACACCTAAGATGCTACCTTGAAGAAGAACTGAGTTTCCAAGAAAGAAAGAAAAGTAAAATGGTTATCTTGTTTCTTTGAGTGCTCAAGATGCAAGAGTAAAAAATACAAGAAAAGCTTCAAACAAGAATTGGACACAATCAATTGATTAGAATTATTGTTACAATTATTGTTTGACAAACTTAAGAAGTTCAAAAAAAAGACAAGTAAGAAAATTTGGCAAATTTTAAAAGAAGACACTCAAAAGAAGCCTAAGAATGGATCTAGAATGGATTACAAAAAATAAAAGACTTAAGTTGAATAACTTATAAACCCAATTTAAGCTTGGTTGAATTATACACTCCCTTAGCCTCTTTTAATACATGCACATTTCAATTCCACTTTTGTTTTTAAGGAGTGTGGGACTTATGTAAGAGTTACACTTCTTCTTTTCAATTTTCTTCTTCCTAAGTCTCGACTTTTTCTCTTTTCTTTTTTTTTTTTCAATTTCACAATTCAATTGTTTTGGTTCTATATGAGACTTAAGCCTTTTACTAATTCAATTCCAACTCAAAATTTTGATTCACACAAGTCCGAACATATCATGGATGGCATATTAATCAACACTTGATTCAACTTTCAAAACTTTAAAGGAAACTTAAACTAACATGGCTTGTACAAGGATTTTATGATTTAGAACTTTGCTAATGATCTAATAGCAAAAGAATACAAAAAAAACACAAGCCATACAAATGCATCATTGGTTTGGTTCCTAACATACAAACTTGGTTTTACTATATATTTTTTTCAATAACAATTTCTATTCTCTAATACATGTGGGACAACATCTAAGGAATTATGAACATTTAAAGGACTAAACATGACTATCTAAGACAACATGGAAGATTATAAGTTTGATAGCTAAGTAATAAAATTTTATGGTTATGCATATAACATATTCAAGAATTCCTAAACAATTGATTCAAGAAGGAACAAAGCAATGAATCAATTAAAAAAAAGATTATATGATCGATGACATATGACTCAATTAAAAGGACTCAAAAAATGAAATATAAGACGGAAATTCAAAGACAAAAAAAGGAAAAATGAAGGTATTTATCTCTTGAAGACCCCCATGACTAGCTCATGATACCAAATTGATGGAAATATTCTCCCTCCTGCCGAAAGTCTCACACCTTGAGCACCCAAGATGAACCAAAATTCCTTCCCAAGTTTCTAAAGAAACTTGGCACTAACTCCTCCAAGGAAGGTTCCTTGTTAGGAGAATAGGATAAAGAAATCTCCAAAGTCACTTGAAAAGTCAATTCCAAAACACCAATATTGACTTGATCGGACACAAAAACCAAGTGAAAGTCAAATCTTGATGAATGATTTTAGTAGTCAAATAACATATAATTAATAAATAATAAAAATATAAAAATATGACATAATATAAAGTTTTTTTTATTCAATATATTTAATGATTTGTTTCAATATTTATGAAAAAAATAGAACCAAAATTATAAATATACTAGTGATATAATTGAATTTGAAAAACAAAATTTGTAAATATATAAATAGATTACAAAAATTTAGTGACTCTTTGACCCCTTTACATCTTAAGAAGTTTAGTCACTAGAAAGGTGATTAGAAATTGAAGCTTATGTATAAATAAAAATTATTCAAAAACATATCCTCGGTTGATGCAAATTTTTTTTATTTTAAACTTTACCATAACTTTCATCTTCTTATTCATAAGAATTGAGTTTACTATTCTTCTAAAATAAGTTTAAATGAAAACATTAAAGAATAAGTTAAATGGAAACATTAAATCTTGACTTAAAGTTGTAAAATATAATAATTTTCTTAAAATGAATTATTTTCACATATTTTTAAATGAAAAAAAAAATGTATATTATTCTTGAAAAATTAAGATTTGGCCTTCTTAATCTCTCATATAAAAACTAGTGAATACTATACCTTGTTTTATGTAAATAAATATGAAATCATTTTAAAACTATTATTTCCATCAAATAATTATTTCAAAAATTGTTTCTCTTTAATCCATTTATCATTTAACCATTCATTTCTTATTTATTAGTGTCTCTTTACAGCTAAGGAGAGTTAAAAACCTTACAAAAACCTCATAAACTCTGCAAACTCAAGCATAAGACATCCATTATTGTACGAATAGGGTATATGTCTACTACTAAACTGATTTACTGTACATGTTGACACACCAAGAAGTATTGAACAAATCCTATCCTATCATATATTCTATCTTTCATATTTTATAGCCTTAAAGCATCACCCCAAAAAAATATACCTTACGTATTCATTCCAACCCTGAAGAATCCGACTTTATCTAGCATTTAAGAGCATCCTTAGCACACTCTTCATCTTTGGTCTTAATTCTGGGGATGTACTAACACAAACACGAGCAATCTCAAGAATTGCAAGCATCTGATTTCTGACTGCTTGTGATGTTTTACTGACGTTAGAGTCAAGAATGTAATCTTGGTTTGTTGAATTACGCAAAACCCACTTGACCAATTCTGTTCCCTCGGTGACCGCAGGTTTTCCTGTCAGCAGTTCAAGCAGAATCACACCAAAGCTGTAGACATTCCCAGCCATTGTTACTGTCATTGTGTATGCATACTCTGCCAACAAACAAATTTAAAATATGTGTAAGAGGAGTGTTTGCAAATTGATTTTACAGTAAAGTGATTTATGTTTAGATGTTTTGATGCTGAAAGCAAGTTTGATGTAAAACTTAATGCCAGTTTTTGAACATAATGCAGAAGTTAGTTTGTATTATAGTCAAACTGAGGTTTGGAAGCACAATTAATTTTCCCTACCAATACCAAACATATGTATCTGTACAAAAATTACATTTGACAGGAGTTAAAAATCAATTCTGATACTTTTCACCATGAAACCTAACACACACTAAAATAGCTTGGCAACCTCATTGAAATCTGAATCAGTGGGAGTGTGTATGCATGATGAAATTTTTTTAAATAAAATTTTCAGGTTATATGCTCTAGTGTTTCATGAACTTCAGGTTTTTCTTTATTAGTTGTACTAAAACTAAACTGAAGCAGTGATTAAATAATTACTCAGGACTGTAATACATCAATGAGATAGAGACAACTGTGCTTAAAAAGTATTTATAGAAATTTTGATCCACATTAACCCTACAATATATAGTGTTTAGTGTGGTATACGAAGTGAATCAGTGAACAATGAAAAATTAATAGGAATATAAAAGTTAAGAGTTATTTACCTGGAGGAATATAACCAACTGAACCAGCAACTGCAGATAAGTTTCCTGTACTCTTTGAGGGATCAATCACCTTGTAGTGTTCAATATCCCCAACTAGAGGCTCCTTGAGGGACTTCAGCATAATACTTTTACTTGACAGGTCAAGGAGTAGTATTGGACTAGAGGCGAATCCATGAAGAAAAGAGAGTCCTTGAGCCACTCCAACAGCTATACTGTATCTGCTAGCCCAATCTAAAGACAAACACATGCTTCCATGAAGAACATCAAAGAGGGAGCCATTTGAGATAAACTCGTATAGTAAATAAGCAGTATCAGTAGACAGAACATAGGCCAAAGGAGTCATGACATTTGAATTGTTCAATTTTGCCAAGACTTCAAGCTCTTTCCCAAATTTGTCATGATTTCCCACTGGCAATATCTTGTCAGACCAGTTCAGTTTCTTGACAAAATAGATTGAACCAGACGGCATGACAGCCATATAATAAGTTGAAAACCTTGTTTTAAGAGTAATATTTGATGTTTCAGCAACAGCTTCCATGGCTTTGGAGAAGACAATGTTTGATCTATGTATTCCATTAGGAGTTAACAAATTACTTTGGATTAGCGGACTTTGCTGATGATCTTCTCTGGACTGTGAATGCTCGTCATTAACCCTGTAATAGTGGCGCGAAAATGACAACACCACCAGAGTGACAAGCCCAACAAGAAAAATAGCCGCAACAATTGCAATGAGAATGGCTACTGCAACGGATATTCCCTTCTTCGAGACAGTGTCGGCTGTTGGGTTGCCCTGTGCAGTATTATTTTTCAGATTAGTTCCAACGTATTCAACATAAATTTTTTGAGTGAATTTTGGAATTTCACCGGACAGAGGATTGTTAGAAAGTAACAACTGTGTCAAAGATATCATTTTAGTCAGATCATCGGGAATTTGACCAGAAAAGTTGTTATTTGAGAGATCCAAGATTTCCAGGTTTTTCAAACTACCGAAACTGCTAGGAATAGAGCCACTAAAGATGTTGCTACTAAGATTCAGTGAAACCTGAAGACTCAATGGCATATTTGGAATCACACCTCTTAGGTGGTTTTCCCCAAGTTGGAGTTCAAAAAGAACACTCAAGTTGTCAATGGTTGTCGGTATGGAACCACTAAGATTGTTGCTATGCAAGTACAAGAAGTTAAGAGCGCTTAAACGTGTAATCTCAGATGGAATTGATCCACCCAGAGAATTCCTGCCCAAGTTCAGGGTTAACAGCTTTTGAAGTTGACCAATTTGAGTTGGTATTGTACTATTAAGCTTGTTTAATTGAAGCTTCAAGACTTGAAGATTCTCAAGATTACCAAGTTGTTGTGGCAATACACCACTCAACTGGTTCTGAGCTAAATTCAACAATGCCAAATTCCTGCAAGAACCCAACTCAGCTGGTATTGATCCCGTAAAGCTATTGTTATCCAGCTCCAAGTATGTCAAATTATGACCTTCTACAAAAGCATCTGAAGGAATGTTTCCATTCAGTTGATTGCTCCCCAACCTCAACCTGAACAACTTTGAAGAAAATTTCGAAGGTAATGATCCGTTTAGCATATTATTGGACAAATCTACAACCTGCAACTGTGGTGGAGACAAAAGATCTCCCGGAATAGTTCCATACAGATTATTAAAACTAAGATCCAAACTGGTGAGATATTTTGTAATTCCTGGTGGTATAGTACCTGTGAAATTGTTATAATTTGCTGCAAATCTTGAAAGTTTGGTGATGCTCGTTAGGGAAGTTGGAATTTCACCAATGAGGTTATTAGCGGAAAGGATCAAGGTTTCCAATTTAGAAAGCTTCCCAATATTGATAGGAATAGACCGTGAAAGATTATTGGCCTTAAGATCAATCCAAGTCAAATTTTCATAACTCAATAATTCATCAGGGATTTCGCCATCAAAGCGATTGTTAGAAAGCAGAAGATTCTCTAAAACCATGGACTTTCCCAAATTGGTTGGAAGAGACCCAGTGAATTTATTGAAAGTAAGATTCAAACTTTTGAGGCTAACCAACCCATCTAACTCGAATCCAATATTTCCTCTCAACATATTGAAAGACATATCCAGGGATTCCAATGCTTCAAAACCATGAAAAGTAGGTAAAACACCTCCTAATTTGTTAGTACTGAAATTCAACAACTTCAACCCCTTAATCTTTCCACACTCAGTGATGAATCCATCAGGGATTGAGTTCAGATGGTTGTTGGAGACATCAAGATGCTCCAAAGTTTCAATTTTGCAAACAAGAGGCAAAAAGTCAGAAGAAGAGAGTGAGAACGCAGATAAAGATATCCCTACTACATAGGAATTGATAGGGTCACAACTCACTCCCTTCCATGCACATGGGTCTGAGCCACTCCATGAAATAGTAGGAGTGAGATTCTTTAAGATGTTGTTCATGGTTTCTGTTTGGTTTTGTGATAGCAGGGACAACACCATGGGGCAGAAACAAAGGAGAAACAAAACAACATTAAGGAAAGATGTGGAAGGGTACTCATACCTGCCCATGTTCTCAGCAGTGAGTTTTGAACTGTGATTACCCTTTATATATATGTATATCTATCTGGGGTGTGTGAATAAGTATTTTATTTGTTTCGGGTTGAGGGTGAAGGTAACATCAATGAGGATAAAACAAGAAGAGAATGTTGGGAAATGTGTGCAAGAATTAAGGATATGTTTGGAGCAGAAGGAAGGTTGGCGGAAAGAGAGTGAGAACAAGTATTGTAAAAATGTCTGAGAGTGGAGTTGACTGACGTTGCAGGTCTCTCACTGCACAAAGACTTGTATGACACAGCATTTGCACTGAGTCAAGAATGAATGAATGAATGATGATTCAGACACGCCCTTTTTTGTAACACGTTCTATTTCTTTTTTTCTTTTCTAATAAATTTTACATTTTTAGATTTTCCTGATTCATTTATTTCCTTTATGGCTTTGTTTGGTTGGAGTGATTTGAGAGAGTGGAAAAGGAGGGATTTGAAGAGAAATGGTGATAAAGTTAAAGTTGTTTGGATGAATGGAAAGTGAAAGGAAAGTTTATGGGAAATTGTGAATGATTTGATTGATATGAGATATAAAAATTATAATTTTAATTGATTATTTTAAAAAATTACCATTTTACCCTTTGTATAAAATAAGGTTCAAATGATTATAAATATAATTTTTTAATTAATTATCCATATTTTAACATTGATTATATATTTAAAAGAAAAAATAAATTTAAAAGTGTTTGTAATTGGAAACAAATTTAAAAAATTAACTTTTTTTAGATAGTTATTAAAAATTATATAAATAAACAATTACAAAATTATGTACATTGAATATCCATATTCAAATAATGTTGACATATTAAATAAATTATTTGACTAATAATTAAATAATTATAAAATATAAAATAATAATTAATATTGATCTGATAATAACAAATAATTATGAAAACTAATAATATAATTTTACATTATTATTTAAAATAAATATAAAATACAGTGAAAATAGAATAATAATTAAAGGAAAGATTACTAAAATTATAAATCTATGCACACTAATTATAACCGCTATTACAGTTCTTGGAAACTTCTACAACCACCTACCAATTGCGAGAAAACTTGTACCCAAATTCCAGGTACAACACAATACAAAAGAATTAACAGTAATTGAAAAGAAGAGACTTAGAAAGCTCAAACCGGATTACGCTAATCCACTGTAAGTTTCTTCTTTTAAAGAATGCAATATGCCTCAAGAAAGATTTTCAAAAAGCTTCACAAAACAGTTGCGTATCTTTCTTGAAAAGGATGCTAATAGTTGCTTGAATTTGATTGCCTAGGATGTGTAAAAACTTAATGATTAAAAAGTTCCAAGCAACTCTGATTTTAAAGAGTAATTTCAAAACTGCTGCATTAATTAATCTGTTGAAAGTTTGTTTTAATCTGTTGAAATAGCTGTTATAATCTGTTAAAAGTCTTTTCAACCCATTAATGCGTTCTTGTTTCTTTATCAAAATTGTTTTAGTTGATACAACCACGTTTATATCAGTTAAAACATTTTACAAACATTTTCTAAGTGTGATTCAATCGATTGATTTGCGTTTTAATCGATTGATTTACTTTAAAACTTTCTTATAAAACTTTTCAAGTTATTTTAACTGATACAAAGAAGTTTTCAAGTCTCGGGTTGTATTTCGCTCGAGCGATTATACTTTCGCTCGAGCGAAAAACGATCCTGATCGATCATTATTTGAAATGATCAATCATAATTGGAGAATATAATAGCGGTTCCTCTGTAACCGCTATCTAAAGTGTATATTAGATAGCGGTTAAGGTTTAACCGCTATTATAAGCTCCCTTTAAGAGCGGTTCCAGTGGAACCGCTATCATATACAACCATATTTTAAGTTTCTTGAGTCTCGGGTTGTGTTTCGCTTGAGCGACTATATCTCGCTCGAGCGAAATTTGATTCTGATCGATTAGATTTTCGAAATGATCGATCATATTTGATAATTTTTTCAAATAATTAATTCTAATTGATTATTTTTCTAAATTATTGATTAGAATTGATTAGTTTTTCAAATAATAGCTTATAATTGATTAATTTCGAAATATATATTAAAAAATTATAATTAAAAATATAGATTATTTAAGAATATTAACTATTGTAAAGATAAAGTAGAAAATGGGAGGAGATGAGGATGATAATATAATGATAGAAGTTACAAAAATGTAGAATTGAGAAGTTTGAAACAAAAAAAATTAAGAAAATAGAGATTTAATTACACTTTTAATAAATTGAACATAATTACAATATAATTTTCTACTCTGAGAATGAACAATATAATTAAGAAGATCAAGTGTAATGTTATTGATGTTAATTTTAACAATAATACAATAATATTATTTTTGAAAATGCCCATATGAATGTGAATATTTTGATTATTATTATATAAAATAATTAAAAAAATAAGGTAAATAGAAAAGTAAAATGCATGGTTATACCACTTTCCTTTTAATCTATAATTAGTTAGGTATGAATCAAATGTAAAGTCTAATGTTATTGATGCTAATTTTAAGAAGATCACAAAATGTAAATTAAAATAATTACAATATAAATTTTTACTTTGAGAATGAACAATATAATTAAACTCAAAATTGAGAATACTCTTATACATTTTTGAACTCTTTTGGATAAATTTTGTTTTCCTCATTTTTGATAAAGTTAATTTTAATATTTAAAAGTATTTAACATTTTTAATTCTGAAAGGTTTTCTCTAATAGCAAATTAAAAAACATAATATTCAAAAAAATATTTTAAGATTCGAGTCTCGGGTTGTAATTCGCTCGAGCGATACTACTTTCGCTCGAGCGAAACAAGATCCTGATCGATCATAATTTGAAATGATCGATCATAATTGGAGGATATAATAGCGGTTCCTCTATAACCGCTATCTAAAGTGTATATTAGATAGCGGTTAAGGTTTAACCGCTATTATAAGCTCCCTATATGCAACCATTCTTGAGTCTCGGGTTGTGTTTCGCTTGAGCGACTATATCTCGCTCGAGCGAAATTTTATTCTGATCGATTAGATTTTCGAAATGATCGATCATAATTGGAGGATATAATAGCGGTTCCTCTGTAACCGCTATATAAAACATATTAGATAGCGGTTATGGTTTAACCGCTATCTAAAATATATATTAGATAGCGGTTATGGTTTAACCGCTATCTAAAATATATATTAGATAGCGGTTTTGGTTTAACCGCTATCTAAAATATATATTAGATAGCGGTTAAGATTTAACCGCTATCATATGGAGAAGGGTAATTACGCCTTTTCTTATTTGATGATCTATCTTTCTCTGCTATCGTCGCAAATCCTCTCACATCTTCAGGGTGAGTTTTCCTCCCCTCTCCCTCAAATTCGCGCCTGCAAATCTTCTCAAATCACTTGCAACAAACGAATTGCATCTCTCATTTCTGTCTTCGTGAACAATAAATCAGTTCAAACAAACACAGGCTATACGTTACGTCGATTGAATTAGAATGAAAAATGAATGAAAAAGGTTAATTTAGTCCTATAAATAATTTCAAGAGGCAATTTTTTTTAAGTTAAGAGAATACACAAAATTAAAACCTAAAATATCTTTATGTGGTAAAATTTTATTATGAAAAATAAAGTTGATATTCTTACCAATTGAAAATAACCTTTAAATTATTATTTACGTAACGATAATAAATTTTGCGTGACCATTACATCCTAATTAATTTCGTGGACTTTGACTCTGAACACTGAAAGTTGGGACCCACAGAAGAATGGAAAATGTTTAAATGCTTTGTTCAAAGTTCAAACACGCGTTCCATTGAACAAAATTAGTCCTTAACGTGTTCCACAGATAATCCTCCCATTTCAATATACTGAGTTGAAAATTAAGTTATTAATTTTTATTTTTTTAAATAAAATTTATTAATATTTTTATTATCTTAATATTTTTTAATTAAAATAATTTTAAGTAATTTATTACATTTTAGATTAATTCGTTTTCAAATACCTTACTACAAATAAAATAGTATATATGAACTTTTTCATTTTCCATGGGAGTGGTATTGACTAAGATTGCAGGTCTCTCACTCCACAAAGACTTTGTGACTTAAAAATGCACTCCGTCAACAACCATCTAATAAACTGCCTTTCGTAACAAGGTTCTATAATGCAAAAGTACAGATTTTTAGTTTTACTTAATAATATAAATTAAATATTAATAAATGAGAATACTATTAACAACAAATTTTATTCTTTCTAAAATAAAATATCTCAAAATAAGTTTAATGTTTACGAAAATGCATATAATATTCTTTTGAATCACCATGTTATTATTAATGTGAAGTATGGCTTTTACTGAACTCTAAAAGAAAATTTTGATTCAGTCTATTATCACTTGTTTGGTTGAGTCATGTTTAGTCAAACTCATTGTTTAATCTCATAAAAAATTATTGAATTATATTAGAGTGAATTTTTGTATATTTCTTTTATACTTAATCTAATATAATATGTTTTTAATCAAATTGGATTGAGTTAAGTGAATTGAATTTTAAATTTTTAAAATTATTTTTTTATTAAAAATCTTAATTTTAAACATTTTTTTGTTAAAATATCCTTTTAAAAATAACTATATTATTATTATTTAAATAATTTAATATTTTTAAAATATATTTGACTAATATAATAGTTAAATAAATTAAACAATAATTATATTACTATTATTATTTAATAACTTTGTTAGGCTAAAATTTAAGTTAAATATACAAAACTAATTTTTCAAATTCGTAAGAAATTAAGTTAAATTAGATTCGATTCGATTCATTTCACTGCTCACAAATGAAATTAACCTAATCTAATGAAATTGAATTAGATAAGGTAGTTCTCTCTATCTATCTATCTATCTATATATATATATATATATATATATATATATATATTAATAGAAATATTAACAAAATATTTTAGAATATAAGTTAAA